CTCAGATCAAGGAGAATCCTTTTGCCCCATGAGGAGCTGTTTTATGCTACATAAACCGTAAAAAGAAAATCTGAGGCTCAATGCATTTAAAAAAAAGTACTCCCTTGGTTCCAGGATGCTGACGACTTTAACAAAAATGTCTCTGCTAGTCTACTTTTCTTCTTCCTGTCAGCAGCTAGGTTCAGTGCTCTAGGTACAGTTTACTAAGAAGCAGTTGTGCAAAAGTTTCAGGATCTCATGTTATACCAGTGCCCAAGAACATCCCGATTCTTAGGGAGAATATAACCAGGGACAATATCCCACTAGTTTTATTCTGCTTGCAAAAAACTGAAGGACGAGCAAATGTACTGGATTCCTTTGCTGTCACAACCAGAAAAATACCATTATATTAGCTGTCAAATTATGTGATATTTTTTCTTACTGTAAATAAATGGGGGAAAAATTCTGTGGAAATTTAAATCTATGTCTGTGTGCTCCTCTTGCTATTAGTGTGGATGGAAAGCTAAGATATGCTAAATAATCACAATACTCTGATAACACAGCACATGCAAAACAGCATAAAACCGTAAAATTAAGATATAATGGAGTGAAGAAAACTTTATTTTTTTCAAAACTCGGGGATCATAGTTTTGGTTTTGAATTTTTTCTCCTTAATGCATGAAAATGCCACGCAGAAAAGAAAACAGACTAGAGAAGGAGAAAATATGAGACAGTCCAATAGCAAAATTTTGACTGCAGAATACCTCACAAATCAGATAACAACTTCACGTTATTTTCATACATTCCTCACTTTAAACGGGTATAAAACGAAGAGTAACTTGCTGTATATTTGAAAACTATTCCCCACATGCTCAAAATCAAAGTGTTGGTGAAAATACACACACCTTGTGAACACAGCATGCAACTATAAAAGAGAAGACAAAAAGTCTTCACAGAAAAAGGATACTAGAAACTCTCTTCTGAGAGCTTTGCTTCCGTCCAGGTCTGGCCATCTCTGCATCATGCGGGGATGGCATGTCACCAAAACCATTTCTAGAGAACAGCAACGTAGACACAAAGTAAGCAAGTGAATCCAAACAGAACACACAACAAGATTTTTTTCTTGCTGCAAGTAACTCCACAACTGGGAAACTTAAACAACGCGTAAGTCATCTCCAATTCAAGTACTGATGTCCAGTGTCCTCTACAGAACATCCAGTGTTCCTCATCAGCTCGGGCAAATGAGTTCATCTGAAAACCCACACTTTGGTCCTCCTACATCACAATGGACAATTTCTCATTTTAAAAAAAAAAAGAGGAAAAAAAAAAAAGCCAGTAAGCCATGCGACAGTATGAAATACAACTTTGAACTGAAAAAATTCAATCGGAAGAACGACACGATTTCCCTATTTGATCTTTATCCTTCAGATACACAAAATCGCCCCAGACTAGGAAAGTTCCCGTGTCTTGCAGGAGGGCAAAACAGTCGCTAACAGTTCCTAGAGC